ATGTCTGTTAAATATGGATGAGGCCTTTATCTATGTAGAATTATAATGAAGCAGACCAAGTCCCTAAATAGAATTCACAGTATCAATCATAGCACATATCACCACCACCCTACATACTTTTTCATATATAGGCAGAAGTGTTATGAATCTGAGAAATAACCAGTCAGCAATCACTGGACTCCAGGGCACCGTAGATGCAGCCAAGTTGTCTGTCCACTTTGACCCCTTTTGCTCATGCTTCATCTGTAGTGATGGAGCAGTCATAGCTAAAGAGAGGCTTTAAAGAGCCACACGAGCCACCAGAAACGACATTGGCATTAAGATGTGTGCTATAATTCAAGAGGTTTACTGTGACCTCCTTCAGAAATCTAAGTCAGCTTTTTAACTCCTCCATCTCAGAGTGACACTGTGAAAAATGTGTGGTCACCATCCTCCGGGGCACTGAAAAATACTTATTAACCTCGTCTTTCTGCTGGATACAGACCATGAAATTTCACACTCCCAGACTTTTTCAAAGGTTGAAGCCAAGAGTAGAGAATAACAAGAAATCTCTCTAGCAGTTTCCCAACATTACTGCTGTGCTGCGGAGCAGAGTTGCGGCTTGTCAGTGGCAGGGAGGGGAGGAATAACATATTCTGAATTTGATTATCCATGAGGAATTTGGCAATTAGAAAAAATCAACCCTTCTGACCTTCAGAGACAGGAGAAAATGAAATAGAGTCCATTTCTTTTCAAAAGAAAGCAGCCTCTTTATCCTCGATGCTCTTATCCTATGTCTTTCCCATTCACTCTCTTTCGGGAAGATGTTTTGATAGAGTACATTTATGTGATGTCGTGCCAACTACATTGCAAGCTATTCAGGGAGGACGATGCTTCAGCTTGTTGGCCACATCCCCGCTGTCTACCGCGGTATCTTGGAGTCTCTGCTGACTTACAGCGACCTCTTGTGGCTTTCTGAGGCTGTAAATGTTTATCAGAGCAGAAAGCCCAGTCTTACACGTAAGAAGTACTCAATGAACGTGCCTCGATTTTGCTTTGAGTTTCAAAACACCCATTAAGATTGAAAACATTCTCTTTTAGAATGGGAATAAGCCATGGATGTCCTTAAATGTAACTCTTAATGTGTAGGAGGTTCTGGCTACAGCAGTACTTCAGTGGGCATTCAAGGGTCATGATGGGGGGAGGGAGGGAAAAAAGAGGAGCTGATACCAAAGGCTCAAATAGAAAGTAAATGTTTAGAAAATAACAATGGCAACGTATGTACAAATATACTTGATACAATAGATGTATGTATTGTTATCAGAGCTGTAAGAGCCCCCAATAAAATGATCTTTAAAAAAAAAGAAGAGGAAAATGGAATTTAAAATAATGGAATTTTTTTCACAAACTTTTTGTATGATTACAAAATAATTTCTTCTTTATAAAGTCATTATTTTTTCATTTGAA